TGTGTGTGTGTGTGTGTGTGAGAGAGAGAGAGAGATAGAGGGAGAGAGAGTTGGTGTGTGTGTGTGTATGTGTGTGTATGTGTGTGTATGTGTGTATGTGTGTGTATGTGTGTGTGTATGTGTGTGTGTGTATGTGAGTGTGTATGTATGTGTGTATGTGTGTGTATGTGAGTGTGTATGTGTGTGTGTATGTGTGTGTGTATGTTCTATTTCATGTGCATATCTTAAGGGCCACCAAAGTACAGATCTGTACTTGTGTTTTAGATAATTATTTATTCATTATTATCAACGTTATAATCTATTACAATATGTATTCTATTATTGTATCTTACCCTGTGTGGTCATCTGCAAAGATGGAGTGGTCTGTTGATCTTTGATGTGCCTGTCTAGCTACTGCTGAAATATGGGAGATTATTGTTGTGTAATAACTAAATATGTATATGTTGCTGTCTTACTGCTGCAATTATAGAAAACAAAAGTGATTTGTTTGTTTTTGTCTTTTTTTTGTTGTTTGTTGTGTGTCTTTTATGTTTGGTTGCTGGGTTTTTTAATTTTTTATTATTTTTTAATTTTTAATTTTTAATTAATTAATTTTATTTTTTTATTTTTTTATTTTTTATTTTTAAAATTATTTTTTTTTTGGGGTGTGTGTGCTTTTTTGTGTTTTGTTTTGTTTGTTTGTTGTGGGAGTCGATTCTTTTCTTTTTTTTTCAGTTTTCAGTTCCAAGAAATGTAAAAGTTTCTCGGCGCTCGCAACTGCATCGAGCCATCTATCTATGATGATCCCACATGACATGAGCGAGTTACGTTGTTTTTGCGTAGGTTCACAGAACGGTTTGGTTTTTACTTTGCTAGGTTTAGCAGTTTGAGTTTTGCGCTTCGCCATAAAAAGACCCGAGTTCAGTTCAAAAACTCATACTGCCTTTTTTTTTCCTTTCTATTCTGCGTTTTGTATTAGTAGGAATTTTACGACACTTTCAATGCATTAGGTCATAATAATACTTATATTATAAGTGCCTATGACTAGAGGTGTTGCAAGAGAGTAACAAACACTAAAAAGGAGAAGAGAGCAATAAGGACGACTGATATTTGATAGGAACGAAGGAGCAAACCACACCAGTGCACTCACCCATCATGCACTGTTCTGCTTTTTTAAAACCCTATCTGTTCGCCCTGGTGTCATTTTGTACCCCCAGGGTTGTATTCTTCACATTGTAGAATACTTCTAGTACGAAGATCTCTTTGGAACTTTCAGAATTTCTCAAAAAATCATTTTGCTGGACTGCTGTGCAAAGCGTACGGATCGGATTAAAGAGCAAATGTTAATGTCTTCTTTGAAAGTGCTGGCACAGAGTTCCCCATGTCGTATAGATACAATAGTAAAACACGACGTACGGATAGGGTTAATCTAAAACTTGGAACAGCACGCATACTAAACGAAATCTGCAAAGTCGTGTTTCCGATTGCGTGTGTGTTTGTGTGTGTGTGAGTGTGTGTGTGTGTGTGTGTGAGTATATGTGTGTGTGAGTATGTGTGTGCAGGTGTGGGTGTGAGTGTATGTGTGTGTGTGGTGCCAGAGATTAAACTTTCGAGAAAATAGCGGCCTACGTTTGGTGACTTCCAAAATCTTGAGTGTTCCTGGAAATGGCAAATTTGGTGTTTTTTTGTGTGTGTCTCTGATCAACGTTTTTTCAGTAAAACCCCACACAGAACTGTGTTTTTAAACAGACATAAAAGGTGTTAGCC